TCTCTCTGCCTACGGTTTACTGGGCAGTTCTGTTTGTGACGATATATATATATATATATATATATATATATATATATATATATTATATTGTTTTTAAGGTTGTGCACGCTGAGGTATAGGCAGGCCCTACCCTGACGGCCAGTGCTATAATAACACTCCTAGGACACAACCAGGGTGAATCAGATATGTTTTTTTCAAGTGATAGGCAGCTCCAGGATCTCTCGTACAAAAGCTAGAATGTTCATGAATGTTTGCATGTTTGCTACTACCGCATTAGCCTGAATAGAACACAAGGTCATTATAACAGCATATTTGGGACAACGATAATGACCATGTGTGCTATTTGGGTGAAGATGGTGGACATGAAAACGTTGAGGCCTTGTTGGTTCTTGTGCATGCCTGTACACTTGGGTCTCGTACACGATGACGGTGGAGGGTAAGTGGGGTTCTCGTAAGACTAGCTACCTTTGTCCCCCGAATACAACGCATGGTGTGTTATAGCTGTATTTGAGGCATCTTTCAGTCTAGATACAGCTATAATGACTGTAATATGTTGTATTCGGCGAGGGTCCGAGGGACGATGGGAAGTGAGACGGCGGGGGAAGAAGGTAGGTAGGGTTAGTCATGTGTGTTATGGTGGAGTGAGATGGGGTAGAAGGCGAGGGACAATGGGAAGTGAGAGGTTTTGATAGCCAAGCTCCGTACCTTGCAGCTTCATGTACGCTTTGGGATAAACCCCGAAGTAAGCAGTGCAGTATGGATTTTGAGGAGCAAGGATGAATGCGGTCCATTTCAATTGCATACATCTTTCGGGTTTGTCCTTATCCTTTCCTGATTTAGCTTTGCGAGGACGATTAGTGACAGCACGGAAACTTAAAGAAAACTGTTCTGAATTTCAGTTGATGCGGTTTTTTATTTCTTGTTCTTAGCATGTGCACGTGCAGCCATTTTCAAATTCTTGCTCGACTACCCAGGCTGGCTTCCGGCTTTGCACCCCCACACCAACTTCTTTTCTTGCTGACCCTCGTCTACACGCATCTCTTCGTCTTCCTCCTGCTCCCCGTCATCTTCTCCACCTTCGTCGTTGGGCGTGATTGATTGGTTGCCAGTTGAGTTGGTCGGATCCGGCCGTAGGAGCGAACTTACATGCGCGGTTTGAACGGCCACCTCAATTGTGCGAAAATTTTGGTCGCCCCGCCGTTCTCGATCTTCTGGATTCTCCCTTCTTCCCTCCTCCTCCTCTGCCACCCCTCGCTGCATGCATTACATGCTGGTTCCCCACCGCCTTCCTTGCTACAAATTCTATGCAGCCCCCTCCTCTCTTCGTCTTTGATCTTGGTTGCAATGTTGCACGAGCTATGCGCGAAGACCACGGCGCCAAACAGGCTCTACGTGCCCAAGGAATGGGTGGAGTGACGGCGTGGGGTGAACTTAGTGGTA